CGGGGCGTGGGGACGGCATTGGGACGCGGGGCGGGCGGGGGCGGGACGCGGGGACGTGTAGCCGAGGCCATGGCGCGTGGGCAGCTCCGCGGGGCTGAGGCAGCGGAAGCCCACCTTGGCATCGTCCCACCGTGCGGGGCACGGGCTGCGCCTATGAGTCCAGAGCAAACCCTTCCCACGAAGTAATGCAGGTCGCTCTCTACCCCCCGAGGCCTTAGAGATTTCCATGGGAAAAGGAGAAAATGGAAAAGCAAAAGCCGATCATGCTGTTCCTGCCGCCGAGGTTGAGCAGCAGCCAGGTGTCCGCGGTGAAGCCTCAGACCGCTGGGGCGGATTCGAACCTCAAGGTAGATTTGCGGAAGAATCTTGCTTTGACTGTCTTTTTGGCTTTAAGTGTGTGTAAAGGGCAAAGGGAGCTTTTCTTACTGGGAGTCTTTTCAGTAAATATGGTCTGAAATTTGAATAGCAGCATTTGAATGAATAATGAAGTATTCTTGTGGCTTTATTTATTAAGAGTCATTGCTGTTGTAGAACTCTGCTTACCCAGCAGGATGTGCTCCTGTGTGTCTGTCTAAGACAGGGTCTTGCTGTGCAGTTCAGGCCGGCCTTCAGCACATTTTGTAGCCCAGGCTGATCTCTAACTTGGAACGATCCTCCTGACTCAGCCTCCTGAGTGCTGGGATTACTGGTTTGCACCACTTCGCCGGGCAGGACATGCCCATTTAAATTTTCCTTGCTTACGTGGTTTTTCGGCAACTCCTAAAGACATGTACAGTGAAGTAGTAAAATTTACATTAAGAAAATTTCCGAGGAAGATTGGAAATATTTGTATAAATATTTACATGTGAGTACTAGTGTGACAAAATTGCAGGTTTTGCTTTGAGCTTCCTGGTGGACAAGATAAAGAGGCAAAATTCATTTATACAGTACAAGTTGCATTAGAACAGAGAAATTATATCAAGTTTCTCAGGTGGCACAAAGCTTTTGCTACTAAATTATTTTACAGATTTCTCATGCCGTACTTTATATTGAAGGTGGAATAATACAGTTAATTTCAATTTTATTTTATTTATTTTTTTGAGACAGTGCCTTACTGTGTAGTGCAAGCTGGTCTTGAACTCGCTTATGTAGCCCAGACTGGCCTTGAACTCACAGTGACCATCCTGCCTCAGTCTCCTGAGTGCTTATTTTTAATTTTACATGCTGTAGTAAATATCTTATGATTGCTAAAGCCAAAAGTATGTACTTTTAGTGCTTTACAAAAAAAGGCGTCATTTCTATTGAAAAACCAGAATAAAATTGAAGTTATGTAATAATCTATACTACTGGTTAAAGTAACTTCGTGAAACCTTCAAAGCTTGTGTTAAGTAATTTTTAGCTTAGTTTTATTTACCAGTGAAAATAAAATTTTTGCTTTGTTTACACTGCTAAAGTATTGGATATTTTAAACACTGTACATTAAAGAACTTATAATTACATTTATTTCTTGATCAGATATATATTGCATATTTGTGTGTTACATTGCAAAGTATCAAAGTGGTATGGAACAATACATTTAAGAACTTCTCTCTCTTTTTAGAATTTGAACAGATGTATTGAAGATGATGTCGGTTTACCATTTGCAATGACTAATCTCTCCCAAAATGGGGAAAATGACTCAGGTAGGGTCCTGGAAAAGTAATGTATTGGTTTACATAAAATCGTTTTATTATAAGTACTGTGAGTTATTGAAAATCTAAGTATTGTATTGATATCCTTCATATTAAAATTATAATAAGTAACAAAAATAAGACGTTGGCATGTTTAATAGTATTTCTCTCTTTTTAATACCATTTATCTCTTATCTTGCAGATCCTGCTTTACAAAATGTTAACTGTTCGCCTATACTTGAGCAGGTCAGTTAAGCAGAGTATATGGATATAACTCTAGTGTTGTGGGAATAATTGAGTCAATAGCATCCAGGAGCTCAAGAGAAGAAAGGCAGTTTTATTGACACTAGTGGACCTGAGAGGAATAATCGCCAAAGTCTGACGCATTGATTACAGAGAGCTTGTCTTTTTTTAAGGTGGCAAACAGAAGTTACACGAACGAGATAAACTTTAGCTGAAGGTTATGGTACAATGGGTATCTTGTGAGCATAGTTATATGTAGCAAAGTTGTTTTTAGCACATTCACAGACGTTTCAATTTGATGACAGATCATACAATTTAGCTAAGTTCAGTGGCAGAGAACAGAATGCCTACAGCTTTATTGAACAAAATGGCTGCAGTTAGGTCAGGATTTCTGCTTCACTAGTAGGTACTGACTGCTTATTGAAGAAGTAAGCTCTTTATTGAATTACTAGTCTTCTGCTTTAATTGCTGTTATTTGAGAACTCAGACATATTTTTTAATAGAAAACATTCATTTTTTAGGTTGATAATTCTGGCAGTTGCCACTATCAGGAAGAACTAAAAGATTCAGATACTGAGGTCAGATTTCCCATTTATTTTAAATTTTGTATAATTGGAGTATAATTTATTATTTACATATATTTTCTTTTGAAGTTTTAGAAGGATTAATATTTAATGTTTTCAAATACATTCTTTTAAGGGGTTATTTCTGCTCTATTTTTCTTCTAATGTCGCTGAAATACTAGGCTTATGTAGTTACCTGAGGTATAAAAACACCCAGTTTTTAAAGGACAATTTAATTTTAAATCATAAAAATTAAGAATGAGAGAAGGTAATGGTTACAGTATGTGAAAAGGCTGAGAGTCAGGCCATTATTTTCCAGAATAATCTTTGAATTAATAGATGAAGTAGATTATTTGGCATATTTATTGTGTAAGACGTTTGTTGGATGTGCTGTACTTTTGGTTTTTCAGATTTTTTTTTTTTTTTTTGGTTTTTCTCTGGTACCGGGAACCGAACTCACGACCTTGCGCCTGCCAGGCAGGCGCTTTGCCACTGAGCTAAATCCCCAGCCCCTGTGCTGTACTTTTGATGTTAGTTATAAAATTATTCATAGGATGTGAAGGTATTATCCTATAAATGAAGGAAAATTCAGTGGTCTGATAAAGTGCTGTCTTTATTGCTATGATTATTGTATCACAGAATTTAAAAGTAAGGAATCAGTTCAAGTATTTTGACAACAAACAGCTATGAGGAAGCAAAAGTCAGTTAGTTTTTTTTGAAGGCCTGGAGGGTGGAGCTCAGTAGTAGAATACTTGCCTAGCATGCAAGAGGTCCTAGGTTTCATCCCCAGCACTGTAAAAAACAAAATTTAAAAACCAAACCAAAACAAAAACACCCAAAATACACACAAAATCCTCTGGCCTTTACAGTAAAATATAAGTAAAATGGCAGGAAATCTAAACAAAACCTCAAATCAGCCTCAATGGAAGTTATGTCCTTGTATTCACTATTATTTTTGTCATTTTGAAAATTTCATGTTCTTGAGATTAACCCTCAGACTTTAGTTAAAACATTTCAAGAGTATTGTTAAAATTTATGGACTACTTTTTGGTAGTGATTTATTTTAGGCTTTACCCAGATAGATTCTTTTATTGACTAAGATGTTTGTAACATATTAAGCACATTTTAGTCATTTAATTTTATTCAGCAAAGTACAACTTAATTGTGATCAGTAACTTTAGTGAAGTAGCTAATACTGCTTGAGTAATTTAATTTCACTTCTTTTAGAATTCTAATTTATCCAAGGGTGAATTTAAGTTTTTTTCTGTCCTCACTAAAGAAAATTGTCTTTGGTTTATTTAGTTTCTTAACGTGAGGGGTTACTGAACTGGAGGAGCAGTGGGGTCTTTCTGCTTTAGTAATTTAAAAGAGTTAAGGTAGCTTTCATTTTGCTACTAGAGCATAAATTGAGACATGATTACCATTAGTATGTATACATGGGGAGCTGTAGTTTGCTTATAATTTTGAATAACTAATATCTGCAAGGATGTTTTAACAGAATTCAGAGCCAATGAGCACAATGTATTCAAAACTGTATAAGGAAGCTGAAAGGATTAAAAAGTGGAAAGTGAATGTAGAATCTGAGCTGAAGCAGAAGGAACATACATTGCAAGAAAATAAAAAGATAATTGAAGCACTACGAAAAGCCATTCAGGAGCTGCAGGTATAATAAAGTTTTGAATTACAGTACATAGAGTATTATTTCAATGTAAATTGGGTTAATGTGTTTTTATAAAGTGGACTTTTGAGGGACAGTGGTTTTTGAAGTTTCATTGATACTAGTTGTAGTTTTATTTTAGTAATGAGGACAGAAGACAAGACTACAAAACTTAATGTAAATGGTTAGGGAAATTATTGAGATAAAGCCTGATTTAATGATGCTGATTTATTGAAGAGGTAAATTTTTACTCCTATTACCATTTTATCTGATATAAATTGCTTTTATTATATTAAAATGTTTATATATAAAACTTTTAAGTTTGAAACTGTTTAGCTTTGATTTATAGTATAAAGTAAGAAAAGTGTTGAGAAAATGCAGATAAAATCACTTCAAAAGAAGAGAAAATAATGTTGCATTAAGATATTGTTGAATGCTTTTTGGATATCAGCAAATTTTATTTTAGATTGCTGAAAGTGAGACCCATATTCTTATGGGAAGTCCATAAGCTGTAACAAGAAATTCCTTTTGTGTGGAAAGAAAAGAATCCTTATAGGCTACTGTAGCATGTTAGTCAAGAAATACTTAATGATTGCACTTGTATTTATTTTATATTTATTTATGCTTAATGATTATACCTGTACTAAGCAAAATGTGATGAATGTTTTGTTTTGTAAATTAGTTTGAAAATGAAAGAGTAAGTTTGAAATTAGATGAAGAAATTCAAGAAAATAAGGACTTAATAAAAGAGTAAGTAATAATTTAACAAACTTGTTCTTTCCAAATTTATTAAGATAGTTTTAAAAAATTTATTCAATACTTTGTATGTTACAGAGTATTTATTATAAGTAAAATTCTGCCTGAGGGCTGTGGAAAAAAAATACCTAATCCATTCTGCATTCTTGCATTTGGCACACTAGGAATCACTGTCCAATAACTTCTGACATTTTTAAAATGCCGGGCATCAGAAAGAATCATTATTTGGTATCAGAAAAAGATACCTGATAACTCCATCTGTACAATTGCTTTGTATATTGTCTGCCTTTTTGCTGCGCTATTGCTATAGGTGCAACATCTGTAAAATAGAGCTCAGCTTAGTTCCAAGCTTATTTTTACTCTCAAATCCTTGTTTTTTTGCCAGTATAAGTTTATTTTTACAGAAAAATTGTAAGTTGGAAAATGGTGTCTAACTGCTGTGTATTAGTAATTTGTGCAAGGCAGCTAAAGGTCTTACCATTCATGTAATGCATGTGTAACAGCAAGTTACCTTTGTTTTGAAGGTTAGACATCTAAAACATTTTTTGGGTATTTAGTAAGTGAAAAGCCTAACCTGTCTTATTATTTGTGCATTATAACCTGTGTTCTGTTATTTCTTGAAAGATTATGAATAGCAATTTGGATAGAAACTTGTTAAGGACTTGTTACTTTAGCTTACAGGGAGGCAGTTGCTAAATTATCTTGCAGTCAGTTTACTGTTTCTTACAGTCATTTGTGTGTGGTACATGACAGATATTTAAAAAATTCAAGAACTATTTTAAACTTTGCTTAAAAAATTGTAATAATAGACTTCATAACTTTGGCATATGGTTTTGCTTTGAGATGATATTACACTTAGGCAAATGCTTTTCTTTGTTTCAGGAATAATGCTACAAGAAATTTGTGTAATATGTTCAAAGAAACCTGTACTAGATCTGCAGAAAAGCAAAAGAAATGTAAATATCTTGTTTTATGTGATTTTTTATCAATTTATTATTTACTTAGTGGCAGGAACACAAAAGACAATAATTTTTCATTATTTGAAATTAACTTCAATTTGAATAAGATTTATATGTGTCAGGCAGTTTCTTCCTATAAAAGTAGTAACAAGATTCTCCTTTATTTTAGTTTTGAACTGTCGGAAAGTTTTAGAAAAGAATGTAGTTGGGCATGGAGGTGCATGCCTGTAACCCCAGAACTTGAGAGGCGCTGAGGGAGGAGGATTGCTGCAAGTTATAAGGCCAGCCTGAGCTACATAGTGAGTTCAAGGCCAGCCTGGACTGCATGGCAAGACCCTGTCTCAAACAAAAAAGTAATGCATCTAAACAAAAAAAGCTAAGAAAACCAAAAAAAGGCAATGTGTTTCACTTGGCATTTATGGTTAGTCCGTATTGAGTTAAAGTGTTTCAGGGCTGGGGATATAGCTCAGTGGCACAAGCGCCTGCCTGGCAAGTACAAGGTCCTGAGTTCGATTCCTTGTACCAAAAAAGTGTTTCAGACTAACCTTCTCTTCTGTGGGGAATAACTGGAAAGGGCTGGGGATATAGCTCAGCAGGCACAGGCACCTGCCTGGCAAGTGCAAGGTCCTAAGTTAGATTCCCAGTACCTGCTTGGGGAGGGGGGATAAGATATATAGCCATGTTTATAACATAGTATGATAGAGGGTTGTGATAATATGATGGAGGGATGTGATAATATGATGGAGGGAATCATACATTACTGAATGTTTGGGTTAACAGTGAAATGTGTATATGACATTGGTCTTGTAAAATTGTAATGGTGGCTGTAGATGTAGCTTAAGGGTACATTGCTTGGCTAGCATGTGCTAGGCCTAAGATTCTATCCCCTGAACTGACAGAAACAAAGATTATAATGGAGCTGAAAAATTTCTCTCACTTAATGATGTAGCCTTTGTAATATCATAGCACAATGTATTACTCATGTATTTGTGGTAATTTGGTGTAAACTAACCTGCACTGCCAGTTGAGTGAAAGTATAGCACGTAGTTATGTTCAGTACATAATACTTGATGATGATGATAAACAATTATGTTACTGCTTTATGTATTTACTATCCTGTACTTCTAATCATTATTTGAATATACTCTTTCTACTTATAAAAAGAGTTAACTGTAAAACAGCCTCAGGCAAGTTCTTCAGGAGGCATTCCAGAAAAGGCATTGTTATCATAGATGATGTTCCATGTGTGTTACTGCCTCTGAAGACCTTCAGGAGGTTAAGATGTGGAAGTGGAAGACAATGATATTTATGATCTTGATAGGCCTATCACATACGCGTGTTTTTGTCCTAGTTTTTAACAAAAAAGTTAAAGTATATTTTTGTACAGTTACGCATTTGGTTTTGTTTTAAGCTAAATGTTATGATAAAAGTCAAAAATCAAAAATATTAGAAACTTTAAAAAGTAAGTTACAGTAAGCTTAAAGTTAATTTATTGAAGAAAGAATGTTTTTGTAAATTTAGTGTAGCCTAAGTGCACAGTCTTTATAAAGACTGTAATAGTTAATGTTTTAGGTTGTCACATTTACTCACCACTCACTCACTGACTTACTGAATTACCTAGCAACTTCCAGTCCTTTAAGCTCCATTCATGGCAAGTACTCTATGTAGGTAATCTACTTTTTATCTTTTATACTGTATTTTTATTCTATGTTCAGATACACAAATTTTTATCACTGTGTTATAGTTGCTTCTAGTATCTAGTACAGTGCTGTGCCAAACAGGTTTGTAGTCCGGGAGCAGTAGCTCATGTAGTCTAGGTGTGTAGTAGGTTATACCATCTAGGTTTGTGTAAGCATGCACTATGTTGTTTGTACAGTGGTGTAATTCTTAGCATGTATCCCTGTCTTTAAGTGACATATGACTGTACTTAAGAACAATGGTTAAGTGTTTATTTCCAAACTGAGTAGGATTCTCAAATTTCTCTTAATATTCAGATAAAGTTGTGATGTGTGTACCAAAGAGCATTCTTACTTTATGCATTTTTTTAAATTGTAAAGTAGAATTTTTTTCTTTTTGATGAAAGAAATAACTGATTATAAAAAAGTACAGCCTTTGCCATTCATTTTACATAAGCTCTGCTTTATGTCAAGGATCTGCTGGATAATTCCATCTACCTATTCTATCTACTTGTTTTTTTAGGACACACATTATTAGTTAAACATCTTAATTCATATGGCACAGTACTGCTTGACAGCTTGGACTTAAGATTCAGTCTGCTCAAATTTAGACACTTAAAATTTCTACCTTGAGATCTTGACTAACTGAATTACGTATCTCTCTGTCATTGTTTATTTACTTATTTTTGAGACCAACTCTCAACTATCTAGTGTAGGCTGGTCCTGGGCTCTTATGTAGTCCAGGCTGACCTTGAATTCACAGTGATTCTCCTGCCTGAGCCTCCCAAGTGCCAAAATCCACATCATGGTGTCATTGTTTATTAAAATACCTCTTAATATTGTTTTGACAGTGAAATGAGCTAATAAATATAAAATGCTTAAAAAAGTTCCAAGTGCTCAATAAATGTTAGTCCTTTAGTTTTTAGTAATGCTCTCTGCAGTACTGGGGCTGGAACATTCCCACAGGAAAACTAGTACTTTGAGTCCCAAAGGTCAAATATAACGAGATAATAATTATCTCTGCCTGTGCCAGTGTCAGTCTTTGAGCTGATCTTGAATAATAAAGCCTTTACCTTAAAAAAAAAAAGAGCTATATCTCCAGTTCTTTTAACTTGTGATAAGGTCCATTAACTTGCCCAAACTAGCCTAGAGCTTGCCATCCTCCTGCCTCAGTCTCCTCAATACTTACGATTATTGGGGTTTACCACCATACCCAGTTTAGCAACTTTTATTATTGTTACTATCTTCCATCAGTAGGTTCTTTATTTTTGATGTCTACTTGCAGTATTTTGCTTTTTGGAATTATGTAAACCTTCCAGAATGTACTCCCCCAGTACCAGCTTCTCCACTACATTCTGTTACCCCATTATTAGAAAATGGATGGTGAAAAGCAAATGGCTGGGGGTAGAGGATAATAAGTTAACTGCCTGCAGAAAGTAAACTGTGCCAGGCAGATGGGCTGCTATTTCTTTTCTCTGTTTTGTACTTAGCTAAGTTCGTGATGAGTTAATGGGAGAGGTTTGATGAATATTTTACTGTTGTTTTTCGGTGAACTTTTAAAATGGTGTAAGTTTTGATGAAAAAAATAACTCGAAAGATAATTTTAAAAAAAAGTAATACTTGCCTTATTATTAATGTAAGTACTATCCAAATTCTTGCCTTAAGATGTTGACTGGTCTTTTTGTTGTTGTGATTTCCTTCCTTCATTCACTCACTTCTTTTTAAGGTTAGTATGTGTAATGAAATGTTATAGATGCTAAGGAAAAACAGCAATGAACAGAGTTTCTACTCTTACGGAATATATAATATAGTAGGACGGACATAGACCAGTAAGTGAAGAAAAAAAATGTTAGGTAGTGATAACTACTTCAGCAGAAAATATTTTGGGATTGTGTGGAAGTTTTAGGTTTTTTTTTTTTTTTTTTTAGTTAAGTGACATTTTTGCAGAGACCTGAATAAAGGAAGGGAATGAACCCTGTAGCTATCTGAGGAAAGATGTCAGGCAGAGGAAGTAGTGCAAATTGAGGACTTGTTTCATATTTTTAAGTGACAATAATGAGGCTATTCTGTATTTTTTATATTTACTATTTTCTATGTAGTTTTCACCTTTTTGTCTTCCTGTGCTCCATTCAGAATACTTCCTTTTAACCTTTTTTTAGCTCAGTAATTCTCTATTTAGCTAATTCCTGTCCTAAAATTCATAAGTTGATTTAATTTTGTACTCTATTTTCTGGTTACGTTTTAGCTGGTTGTTTAAAATTTTGTAGTATTGTTATTTAAAATTTAATTTTCTTAAATGTTTTAAGCTCTCAACATAGTTGTATTATAATTTGTGCCCAATAATTGGAATACCTTAGTATCTATTTCTGTGGCCTGTTGTCACGTAGATTCTAGCTTTCTTGCACATTTAGTTATGCATTTTATCTTCGTTATTCAGTAGGTAATCTGAGACCGTATAGTTACGTTTTACTACTTTCTTGAATGAAGAGCAATTTTGGTTTATATCCTAGACATTTCAAATACATTATGTTGTAAGATTGTGGGTCCTATTAAAATCCATGTGGAAAAAAATTTTTTAAAGCAGGCAGTCAACTCAGCTCTTGCCTTTTGTGTGTAGAGTTCAGTGTCAGTTTAATTTTGAAATCCTTTGCTTGCTGTACTGACTGTTTAGGTAAGAGATTATCTGGAGTTGAGGTTTCAAACCCTTTGCTGTGTTACTTTCGGTGTGTCCAGAAAATGCACATCCTCCCTTTTCCCCATGAGACTTGGGGTAGGCAGTCCTTTTTTCAGCTTTCTCCAGGTGGGTTGGGTCCTCATTCCTTACCTCAGAGGGCATCTTCTGTTCATCTTCTGGCCTGATTTGTTCTTTTTGCTCTGGATAGCTTTGGCTATACAGGATATTTTGTGGTTCCATTTTAGGATTTCTTTTTCTGTCTCTGTGGGAATTACAGTGAATCGGTAAATCACTTTGGGTAATGTTATGGTTTATATTTGGATGTCGCCCCAAAGCCTCATGCACTCACAGGTGGGGCTTTTGGGAGGCAATTGAATCCTGCAGTGGTTATACTTACCAGTGGATTAGTCAGGTGATGAGTTTGTATCTAAATGTGATTTGGGAGGTGAAGCTTGGTTGGAGGAAATGGGTTATTGGGGGCATATCTTATCTACTCCTCCCTTGTTCTCTCTCTGCTTCCTGACTGCCGTGCATAAGCAAGCTCTCTCTGTCATGCTACCTGTCCTTGGAACCAGCCAACTAGGGACTAAAACTTCCACAAACTGAGAGCCAAAGTAAACCTTTTCTTCAAGTTGTGGGTGTTGGAT